GACAGTAATGGTGTCCCAACCCCATGCAATTTGAGTGGCAATGACAACAACCACAATTGAAACACTCTTAGTGCATGGCATCAAAGGGCGTGGCCGAACTATTAGGGTGTGGTCGCACACTGTGTGACTGTTTCTGTCTAGGTGTGGCCTGAAAGGGCCCGCTTGTGGCTATTAGGACATGGCCCTGGATGCTAGTTCGCCGCCCCCAGAGGGAGGGCAGCTCAGCCAATAATCCCTTCCACATTCGCTTACAGAATGTCCCCATGGCGAAGTTCAACCCCTTCTTCGCTTTCCTCCCTACAACAGATAACACCAAAAGTAAGCACCTGCATTTAAAGAAATTGCTATTTTTCATTTGCTGTTTACTGCAGTTGCAGCTATGACACCCACTTTTCGACTATCCTGAGCAGTCAGAAATATGAGGGGTTTGTGGCACCCAATGCAGGTGAAGACCGCTATGCGTTCAAATAATCTGATTTAGCACGAGGTCCGCCTTCCAGGATCATTTTTATTGTCGTTGCCAGGAATGGCGCATTGCAACCGTGGGTGTGCAAATAACAAATATTCATGCTTTGTGAGCCAGAACGCAGGACTTCAATGGCAGCAAGAATGGGGAGCGCAATCGCTTGCTGATTTTGTTGCTGAGATGCACTAATATACAAGCTGACATTCCTGTCAGTGTCCAATGCTACGAACATGAAGGCTTCAAGATATTGTCCTGCTAGTGCTCCCAGTACTGTCATGATTTGTTCTCTTGCATTGGATTTCTACCCCGAGAAGTCCTAGGACCAAGGTAATAATTGCTCAGAAAAAAATTAGGGAACAACTTACCCATCTCACTGCCCTCCACACACGGAGCAACTTTCAATGCAATGACTACAATTCATGAAAGCTCGATTTGGATAAGCCTCCAGCGACCTGCTCGAAGCGAATAAACTACGTGTTGTTCTTAGGATTGTTCCCATTTGTCAATCCCTCAAAGCATATGAATATGCAGGATAACAGACATGCGATAGTCCACCAATCTGTCTACTTTTATTCCAACCGACATCTGCATGACAGAAATGTCAAAAATGCGGTTTCGTATGAACAGAACTCACCAAACCTCTGGAGATCCGTTTCTGCACAGCCAGCACAAAACAAGGGTTTCAGCACCAGGGTTGCAATGACCACGTGATGAAATCTTCAAAGCTGCAAAATGCACAGCCGGCACACACATCGACGCTATATTCCTGTTTGTGACAGCAGACTGTATTCAACTGTCAGGCAAGCCTGTAGACACAGCCAGACACGTCTGCAGATGCACGGCCAGGGAATCTTCACACATTTAAGAATACCCAATTTCTTGCATCTTCATCTGGCAGTGCCACCCAGAGTTAGAGTAGACGAAGGACATACACCATCTGTCCAAGGTGACGCGGATCGATGGGTGCAAGGGGCACATATACGTCGCATTCACTGTACACGATCAACAAAGCTACGTCTTTCGATCCATGGCTGATGGCTCAGCTCCTTTTCTTATTGTGGGAGTATTGTGGGAATATTTATGCATTATTCATGTCTGTTGCACGGTGCCGCAAACAAAAGGGACTTGCCGTCAGGGTGCTCCAGCCTGTCCTGCTCCCTTCTCTTTTCTATCAGGCCAGAAATGAACGCCTGCAGTCTGCGGCTGTGGAGGTCCTCTGGAGATGCTTCAGCACCTGGCAGACGAGACGTGCAATGGGTGAAGACGGTTATTTCATCACAGCACAGAAGGCTGGCCAATCTTGTCCCAAGTTTTCCCCCAACCCTCACCCCAAAAACTCACACACGCACGTGTGGGCACCAGTGATGTCAGCCAGATGGAATGACGTCAACAGCTTCTGCGCTGTGGCTCCGAAATAAAATGAAAACAGAGAAAACATTGTCCTTACCCGCACTGAAGCTCAACGGCTCTGCAATGGCCTTGTTGATGGAAAGAATGCGGCGGCGCAGGGCGTCGCTCCCAATCCCATGGGTTGCCAAGTACACACGGGCGTCGACTTCGAAGTCGGGGGTGTCTTCAGCATCTGCAAGAAGGCACGCATTCTTTGAGTTGCACGCAATGATTAACATATAAGCCACCAACTCAGAAACCTCAGGTTGCCTTCAAGCCATTCTGATATATTTAATATATTGTGCCTACCCCATATATCTTGTGCCCATCTTGTGCCTGGTACCAGTGGTGCAGGTCCTGGACTTTTTCACAAATCTTTCTACCAATTCTATGACATGACAAAATCTTGGACATGTGTGAGCTTGTGCAGCTGTGCCACTTCCTAACAGTTGGCGACATTAAACAATCGAAGATTTGGAGTGCTCAGTGGTCACTTGCAGCCCACCAAGGACGACCCCCCGATCCTGTCAAATGCACTGTTCCCCAGTTTTGCTGCACGCAAGCTAAAGTGCACAGAAACACACTCACATAACAAAGCCATGTTTTGGAGCGAAGCACGTGTGTTCCAATAGTCGCCAGGGGTTGTGGTGCAGGAAGTTCAGCAGAAAATGACAGAGAAATGGAGAGTCTCGAATATCAAGCAAAAATTGCTGTGCGAGAACGAGCACTGGCTGGGACGTGAGCTTTGCCGTTCAAACTTGCACAGTGGGACAGGCTGACTGGTGGCCCAATCATCACAGCGCCCATGCCCGTCGGCAGCCTCGAACAAAAGCTCGATGCACCAACGTTAACGCAACTTGGGCATCACCCCACGTGACTTGTGGCAACAGACGGCGGTGCGAACAGCAGAAAAAATATGATTGCGAGCGTTGTTTGCACAATCGCCTGCTAGGAACCAGAGACTTGCATATCTCCCTCCAATGGTCTGCCGCCAGACAACCCAGCCTGAGCTGCTGCGCACGCCGTTAGGGGAGGTTGGACTCGACATCGTCTGCCGAACGCGAGGGATACGCTGCGCATATGTGCGAGTGACGCCAGACACGAGCAATGCACATGTTTCGAGCAGCAGCCACTCGCCCGAAAGGCGGTGCGCACCTCTGACCACCATGCCGTTGATGGGGCGATGGGCCGCGACCGCAGCCACCAGGACCAAGAGAACCGCCGCAGCCAAGCCCGTTCCTGTGGACAGCATTCACATGGTCAGTTCGACAAGGCCACTCCCAGGGAACCTCCCCGCTGTCAGGGGCGGGTAGCCCAAAAACTCGCATACAACGTCTTTCCAGCGTGTGCGCGTGCTGCGGCGGGACGGAAACAAACAACGATAACCCGCCCTCGGCCAATCGCCGTCTTGCAAGACGTCTTGCGCCTGCAAGTGCGGGCGCATGGCCCTGTAGACGCGATTGATTGGATCAATGTTAATCCAAGGTTCGCCAGCGCATCGCGTCGTGCACGGGCGCACAGCCGCTGCGCGTGCCGGCCGACGTCAGCGCGGCGCCCCGTTTGCACGAGGCGCTGGGTCCTCGGCGCCGATGCGTCCAGGGGGCAAGTCGCCTTGCGCGCAATCCGTCCGCGATGCCTTCCATTCTCATTCGCCATGCGGGCGATCACCACATCGGACGCACATGCGCCCAATTCGCGCCGCCGTCCAGCAGGCAATCGCGCCGCAAGCGCCTGGGCGAACCCACCGGCGAAGGGAGTGAACAAAAGCGCCAAACTCGCGACCCGTGCCCGGTTGGCACATTTCCAGCGCTTCAAGAACATGTCTCAAAACACGTTTCACGAAATCCGCCGATTCAGGCCAAGGGCGCATTACCCCGGGCTTCACCGCGCCCGCGAAAGTCCCTACAGCCCAACCTCTATGATTCACGCCGCAAAACGCGCCCCGCCATTCCCGCCAACTCTCCGGCTCCATCCCCCGTGCCCTAGTCCCCGACCACATGGCAGATTCAGCCACTTGACCCGCACCGATCGGCCCATGGGCTCATGGGGCAGCTCCATGCGGCCCCACGGCCACGCACCTTTCATGATTGCAGGTAATTAGCCCCTTGGGCGCTCGAGCCTTCCGCCACAGTCCGGCCTGGGTTTCCTACTTCCACCGACAGGGCCGGGAGGTCCAGGCGCTCCTGCCCGCTGCCGCCCCCGGGCCACCTTCTCCGCCTCGGATTTTGTTCCCCGCACTGAACGCCAAGAGACCCCCAAAACTAGCTTGAGGGCCGTACCTCGGAGAGGTACTGATCGTTCCTGACCCCATTTTGCTGCGAAATGCGTGCGTCATTCGCACACGTAATCGCCACCTAATACAGTTCTTCGCGTCATAGGGAAGGGAGGTGCGATGGCGACTGGCGAGCGCCCACGGGAGCTGCCCGTTGCGTGGACCGAATAGGGGCGCCGCGACGTGCCGCAGTGCTGCCCCGGTGTTTTCACCGCGAGTGGACGTGCCGGAGTCCGTCGGATTGCGTTAACCAAAGCACGCGATGCGGATCCCGTGCACCTGACGGTTGGCGCACGCCGACCAGCGCGCTCGCCGGCGGTCCGGGCCTGGACCCCCTAGGGGAGGGGGCAAGGCTTCGACCCGCACCTGAGGCGGTGGCGCGAGACGAAGCAAGTGCCAGCCATCGAAACTGGTCACCGCGAGAAGCTGCTGTTGGTGGCGGGTTGATGGTGGAGGGAGGGGGGCCCGGCGACGCGCAACCCCTGCGCGAAATACTGTTGTTGTCGGGTTCGAGGGAAGGCAGTCCGGCTCCAGAGCCGAGCTGCCGCCAGCATCCCGAAGGAGCGCGTTCCGTTTCGCGCCGAATCGGCACAATTTGCGGCGTCCCAACTGCCTTGGGGACCAATTGGAGGCAGCAAAGCATCATCAAGTCCTGGGTCTCGCACGCAATTTGAACGAAAGCTTTCCTTAAGGGTGGGCCTGCCAGGCTCATCCGGCCGCCTTGGTGCGCCGCCCGGCCGATGCGGACGGGTGCCGGCCCGCGGCGAGGATGGTTGAGTGCCAGCGGGACAGGGCAGAAGAGTTTGTTCTAGGCGATGGCTTTGGCGGAGAGGATGAACACGGGATGGTGCGGGCCGGTTGTGTATGCTGCGGCGTTGATGCCTTGAGATGTGCGCCCGCGGATCTCCGGGGTTCGCCGTCGCCGACTCCAGGGGGCCCAGCTGTGAGTGGAGGTTGCCGAAAGTTCTTTCCCTGTTGCCGTCAGGTCGAGATCCATGCCGCTGGCATGAATCCCTGCAGGGATCGGCTCGCGGATAATCGCGTTCAGCGGTGTGCGGGTGCAAGCCTGTGCGCCTGTGCCGCGTTCGTCCCGTGGGACCCGTTCCATGGGCAAATTTGGCCATGTTCTTTAGAGAACTTCCTGTGCATTGTATTGCATGTGGGGTGTGCGACCCTTTGTCCCCGGCAATACCTCCGCCTTGGGTGGGCGGGTTGGTATGTCCCCACCCTCCCCATCGCTGGCAAGGACACGCTGTGGCTAATTCGATATCGAGGCGGAATTGCTCTGTTGGCGTGTGTCCTTGATTGGCAATTGCCGAAATGTCGCAAGCATTGCCGTTGCACTTGCACGCCACGCCACGCTCAAGCCGTGACTAAGAGTACCCTGAAAGCACATCATGAAATTGCCATCTCCGGAGAAAATTCCCCAACCTAATGCGTGAGCACATACATAAATTCCTGCCCAGACGTCGGTCCGGTTGGGATGAAGCCACTTCGCCGCGGGTGGGTGGATTGACGCAATCGTAGATGCGCACATGCATCCACCCATATGAGCACATCGGCGAATGCCAAGCCTTGCAAGGGAAGGCGTTCTTGGCAGGCCTTTATAGCTTGGCAGGCCAAGGGTGAGCAGCAGGATGTGCGTTCGACTTCCTGTTCACTTCTCAGCATGCTAATATCACTAGGAAAAAATGTCCAAATAACACATGTTCAAACGCGTACAAAGTTTACATGTTTGGGTTAATTTTTGTTATGGTTTGGGTTAGCGTGCAGAGTTTTGATGAAATGTGCTTTATGTGTTCGCAAAAGTGCTATTTGGCCCTTTTTTCCTAGTGTATGGCACATTCTTTCATGCAGCAAAACAAGCCGACGTAGATCATCGCCCGAGCCTCCAACTCGATTTTCGTGGCCACCGTCCTGGCATCTTGCCTGCCGGAAAACATGGCGGACATTTGGTTGCAAAGGTGCTTGTGGCAATGCAGATGTCAACAGCGTGGAACCATCAGCGAACCATCCAGAATTATTTCCCATGTTATTTGACAACTTGAACCTCTTTCATCAGCACTTTCACAGCTTGCATCTCTCCAAATGTTATGGCTGCGATGTTGACGTATTTATACAGCTTTCCAGCTTCATTCAACTCTCCTTGCTCTCCCGTATTCATTTAACACAGTTACTCCACACGCCCAATCCCCTGTTTCAGAGACACCTGCGCCCGGTGCTCCCTCCCTTGATACATATGCTACAGCGCGCCATTTGCAGCACTCACCGTACCCAGGTGACTGAATACACTACCGCGCATCCCTATCAAACATAACAAACTCCTGAAAATTCGATGCGCGCGTTAGTACTGTTTATTGCGAAATTGGAGGCTGAATGGGATGCACCTTCCCTTATCCTCCCTCATCGTCATCTGAACTAGTGTCGAAATACGTTCTCCCATGATCAGCAGCCCGGAACGCCCGCCCCTGCCCCATTTTCCAACCGTCCTCGCCCCCGTGCGCCTCCCTGGCCCTTCTTCTGTACAGCACTAACAGCGCCAGGCAGCAAGAGAACAGGGCGACGACCGCAGCTGCCGCGGCCACCAGCAGGGTAATATTCGGTTTTCTCTCGCCTCCTGCGCTGCCGTCGTTTTCGGACAGCGTGGGGGACCCTTGAGGGGCGCGGGAGTACTCCAGATTGGGCGGGCTCTCATCCATTGGCGAGGTGTAGTGGACCGCGTCGGCAAAGTTGATTCCGCAGACACCATTGGGCAGGCGCTCGTATGCAACGTCGCATTCCGAGCAGTCCTCTCCCGCGAAGCCCTGGGGCGGGTGTTGAACAAATTCGTCAGATACCTGATCGACATCCAGGAATCGGGATGGAGCTACAGCAACAGGGTTGTTGATGCGCCGCCTGTCAATGCTGCTGCAATGCTCATGCGCCCGGGCCTTGCAAGCAGCAGTGTCCGCAATTTGATGAGTTTGGCGACTTATGGGGGGCGCAATTCATGTCCGTTAAGTTCAATGGCATTAGGAGCAGAAACGTACCAGGGAAAAAAGGACCAAACAACGCATTTTCGAACTCGTATGAAATGTGTTTGTCAATATTCTACACGCTCAAAGCACCAAAGTAACTTTGCACACGTTTGAGCACGCGTTATTTGGCCCTTTTTTTGTGGTGAACGCCGACGCGGCGTTGAAGCGCAAGGCTTGCAATTTTGAAAAGAAGCGCACCAACAGTCTCGCAGCAGCTAGGCCCATCAACGTTGCTGGAAACCCGTCCCGATTCCTGGCTGAGCGTCCCTCACAATCTGCCTGACTTCTCGTCAGGCATAACAGCGAAAAGTAAAGAGTTGGAGCGATGCATGAACAAAGCGCGATTGGCGATAGTCTTGGGCCGAAATGGCTGCTATTCGCACAAAAAGGCTTGTTGCTGAGATGGTGTGTGGCCTGGCTGTGCTCAAGAGCTGCTTAAACACTATCAAGTGGATGATTTTCTGCACCGGATGCGGCCCGCGTTCTGGGCGCAGTTCCTAAGTGAATATGATGGCGTAAGTTGCTCAAGCAAGCAAGGGTATAAGAATCCAGCCCAATTGACAATCTGTTTCAGCGGCAAGACAGAATTTCAATCAAGGATTCAGTGAAGCATTGATTCGAGGAAGACACTGTGTCGACTGGTACTATTTGCCTCAATTCGACGCAAATTTCATACCCCCACCCCCTTCTATACGTTTTGCCGGTGTCAGGGTGATCAACAACAATATCGTGCAGTGCGCTACAACTTCGAGATGTTTCTAAGGAGACAACAATCAGAGTTGCTGCAATATGCAGTATTTTGAGACTGGCATGCTAGCAGCCAAGTAAGGCGATGTGAGCAGATACATAGGCCGTCAATGGCAACAGGATGTTTGCTAACCTTATCACGGATCACTTTCAAGAGTCCCTGAAACAATTCGCTGCTTTGTTTGCCATCGATCAGCGTCGTTGGGGGCTCTCTTCACAGCATTGGGGCACTTGCATGATATCCTAACCTGACTGGTATGGAATCCCTCCCCCCCTTCTGGCGTCAAATTGACGTTAAGCAATTCAAAGTATATATTACGTCCAATTTTTATTCTCAACATCAATTTGCCGGTAACTGATAGTGTCTCCCTTTAGACACAGACACTGTTCTGTGCAAATCATCCCAGTTTCTGGCGAGGATTAATGCAAATGTTAACATCCTATGTCGGAACAGCCTCCCAAATATTTCGAGACGCTCAATTCCATGTGTGCTACTTCACAGTCCTACACAGCTAACGATGGAAACCTGCGAATGTTTATTGGAATGAAACCATCAATGAATTCAAATTAACTGGTGTACACGCCGTGCTCTTTGTCACATAGCCCATGCACCACACGCTAATCAACTCTGCGCCGCAATTTATGACAAATTTTCTACCTGAAACCTTAATGCACCGAAACTACCAGCCTGAGCATCATCTCCCCACACTCCTGTCCCCGAATGACACACCTTGAAGCACATGCAATCGCTTGTCTCCATAATGCAGACACCGCGGCCGTTGCACGGCCCCTTGTCGCTACCCGGGCAGCTTGCGGCGCTGACGGGAGGACAATCCGACGTGCAGTAGCTCTCCTCTGTAAATCCCTCCCCAACTTCGCACAGTCCGTTACCACACACACCATTTCTCATGTATTTGCTCATGGAGCGCGTAGAGAACGAGGACAAGACATCAAATCCGCTGTTGTCGATGGCCTTCGCGACGGTCTCCGTCACGTAGTCCTCAGTAACCTCTCCTGTTTCCTCGGGCACGGTGAGGGGCGGCAACACA